ACTCTGGCTCTGAACTTCTATATAACTCTAAGTAAAGTCTGTAATCTCTTTGGAATTCAATTTAATTACTTTAAAATATTCTATTTAGCATAACTTATGCAGAGCATAATCAATATGTATTATTCATGCATAAGATAGAAATAAAGTTATTATCTGTATTTAACTTCCTGTACAATCTATTTAGTAATGTTACCATTCTTGCTTACTATCAAATTTAAGATTTTTATGTTGCATTTAATTTTAAAATGCGATTTATAACTGTATTTATTAAGTAGTATTTATATTTAATCAAAGAGATTAAGTAACATGGTACTTGAACATACAATCCTGTGAATGAAGTAGTAGTTAATAGAAGTAAATAAATATTGAGCTGTTAAGTATAATGTTACTTATGATTTCAGAATATCTTCTGAAGAAAGGAAACGAAATACAATAAATGTTGTGGAAGCAAGCTACTGTCATCTTTTATTATGCTTTTTGAGAAGCAATTTAACATATAAAATTGTATCATTTACTTATAGAGAGCAGATTGAGCTCCTTAGCTAGAGACTGGGAAAATGGCAAACCTCCAAAGTACTGAAAAAATCCCTTAAAAATTAAGTCAAAAAAAGGAACAGTGCAGCAATGCATAAGGACCTTGAGGATGAGCACTATTATTTCCAGTATGTACGGATGACTTCTTATTGGCGGGGATGAATCTAATAAATGCTTTCTTTTCTCAGCATGGCATATTAGAGAAGAGCAGGAAAGAACAGTGTGCTATCCAAAGTGTCCAAAAAACAAAAACAAAAACTTCTTCTTACTTGAATCTGTGGTATTTCTGACCTGTTTCGAAATTGGAGAAACTGATGCAATTCATGGCAACTGTTCAAATCCTGAGTTACTTTCAAAACTGAGGCCAAATGACATGCTGTTCTATTTTTCCTAATTTTGAACATCCATAGCATTTCTTGACTTTCTTAAGGCACTTATTTCTGGTTTTCATTTCAGTTAGTTGAATGTTTTTGTTTATAAACTAAATGATACATAAACATCATAATAAGACTGTATCCTAGTTATTGTCTATCCTGAGAAGACTAAATGAAAAAAAAAAAAAAAAAAAAAAAAAAACACTTCTCTGACATGAAGCACAATACTCCAGCCATTTTCCCCCGGCCCCCTTCCTTTTTCCCCCTTTTCTTTCTTTTAAAAAATGTTTGGTCAGATTTAATTCTATACTTACAATAGAATCCTTCTTTCACTTGCCTAACCTTTTGCTTCTCAGACTGCAAAGTCATGGATGGGCAGAAGTTTATACAGGTTGCCTTTTTGTACACACTTGTGGGAAGCCTGAATCTATTTCAGATCCTGTGGGCCTTAATAATTGGGCCTGTATAGTTAAGTGTGAATAGTAAGAAAATTATGATTAAAATTTCTTTTTCAATATATTTCTGCCAAGGACGGGTAGGTAGTGAGAGGGTAAGTGTTAGAATTACATGATGGGTTGGTGCCCAGGATGGAATTGGTTCCATGACCCCAGAAAACACCAAAATCCACAGTTGTCTTTCTATAAAATGGCCATAGTTTTTGTATATAACCTACATACATCTCCCTATATACTTTAAATCATCTCTAGATTACTTGTAGTACCTAATACAATGTAAATACAATGCATTGGTTTTTTGCTTGTATGATATTTTTATTGTTATGTTGTTTTTAGTGTTTATTTAAAAAATATTTTTGATCCTCGGTGGGTCGAATTCAAGGATATGGAAGCTGCAGATACAGAGGCTGGACTGTAATGTGACATATGCAAATAATCTTCTGGAGGATTATTTTTAAGAACAAGCACAAAAAAAAAAAGCAAGATTTTGCTCTGAGCAAAATCTATTTTGTCAGCAAAGATCTATTATCATCCGTCTTTCTTTCTTCCCTCTCTTCCTCTCTTGCTTCTCTCCCACTCTCTCTCTACCCCCAACTCCCACTAAATTTCCAATTTATTATTTTGGTGCCTGTTAACATACTATAAAATTTCGTTAGCAGGTGAACAAAATAAACAAATAAAGGGATGGGTTTAGGGTCTTTCATGGATGAAGACAGAAACTTACCAGGGCATTAGGAAGTAACAAATAGGCCGTAAATGAGTGGATTTGTGAGAGTGAGGACAGGGGATCACAAACCTCTCCTTAGGGACTTGGAGAACTGCAATAAGAATTGGATAAACTGCAACAAGAATTGACAGAAGAAATTTAGGATCTATATCCAAGTGAAAGACTTTTCCAGAGGGTCAGGATGGCCAAGATAGGAGAGAGCAGTAAGTTTTAATCATCGGCTTAAAGGGTACATTCACATGGCTCAGAAATTCCTTTTCAAACAGCCTAAATTTCCAGAATACTGTTTTAAAGTACTATCTGAGCAATATTAAGCATTTTACCATTTGCTATTCCATAGATTTAGAGTAACTAATCTACATTTTTGATGAAACTTTCTTTTCAAAACCATATCAGCTGCTCCACTAATTATATATCTCATCATTAATGAAGATAGGATAAGGGGAAGCTGTTTTGAAACTAATATGTCTGCCAACATTTGTGTGTGTGTGTATTCTTGAACTAAAGCAGAGATTTTCTTTTATCTGGTTCTCATTATCAACACTGCTAAAGTATTAGATGATACTAACTGGGAAAACATTGAGGTGATTTCATAATTTCTTAGGAATTCAGTTTTCCAAGTTTACAAATTGAGCTATAGCAGCATTCTTTGGGAAAATTTCGTTTAAAAACTAAATGGTCTAATATATTTAATTAGAACTTTTCCTTAGCAGTTCACTTCTTTTTTTCTGTACACTACATGACATCATTATAAATCCACCTTTACAGAATACACTCTATTTTTCTCCCATGCAAGTAACAATTAGTATACATTCTGATCAAACCATAAAGAGATTCATCCTCTACCCAGAAGACTTTCAATAACAAAAAGTGAATACAGGGAGATTATTGCAAAGGTCTGTTTTATGGCTTGTGAAGGTCATACATAAGTCTCAATTCTATACTGAAATTTCATTTTCTTGCTGCCAAACTAGTAGTTAACTTGTATTTGATTACTATGAATTAATGCAATAAATTAGATTATAATATTCTAATGAGAAATCATAAGGCAGTTACCTACCAACAAATATTTTGAAATAGGTTGCATAGCAGCTTTTGCATCATAAAAACATGTGAGATTATTTTTTAAATGTACTTGAAAAAATCAGCAGCTTTTAGAATGTAAGAAACAAACACTACATTTAGATTCTTAGTTTATATATGCATTTAAATAAATTCTATGATTTTTGCAAGGATAATGATCCTATAAAACTTTTAACATATACTCAAATGTTTATGTTTCTAAAAGCCATGTAACTAAGGTAAATGACTTTCAGCAGTAATTATTAAAATGCATTTTAGCCTTAAAATTAGAGTTCTCATGGTTATTTTTCTCCTTAACTAGATTGTGGTTGATCTCTTTGGTTAGGCAATAGTAAATTTCACAACCGAAAAAAAGTTTCCTTGTGATTTATCTTTGTTGCAAAGTAACACAGTCAAGTTTCTCTGTAAGCAAAGGCTAGAGTTTCTTCACTTTTATTCCCTGCAAATTTCTTATATTATTCAGGCCAAAGTTATATTCAACAACTGCAGCTAAAAATATAAAATGTATTTATGTGATTTTACTTGCATCGAGAGAATATAATTCTATGATATAATAGAAAATGTTCTTCATAGTTCTATGCCTTCTAACCTAAATATAAAATTAAAATGAGACTACCAAATCAGACTAACACAATAATGTCTAAAACAGAAACTTTTGACAGTATAATTTAGCTTTCAGAATTAGAATGTTTCCCTAAGGAATTGAAAGCACAGACAGAAAGAGACAATGCTTCTGGTGTCACAAGATGTTATCTATTTTGTGTTAAACACAAATATCTATGTCATTGCTCACATCCAGCATTTTCAGCCAATGAAGTTCTTCATTCTTCTATATTCCAGGCAGCTTCCTACTACCACCATAAGTCTTACTTTAAAGGAAAAAAACACACACACACAAAACCTCATCTGCCTAACTAATATGTCTGGTCTAAAAATGAGGCCAGTAGACAGGATTGCACAGTACATTCAGGCAAAGGCAAAGGGTAAAGAGAGGCATATGAGTGCAGCATACTTGATGTCACTTTTATGTTTGTGCTTGTGCTATACTTCCAGCTTAGGCACTTGTTAGATTCCACAAAACAGCCCTCTGACATGGTAGGAGTACTCTGTGGGATACCTATGTGACCAGGGTGATGACAGATGAAAAAATTACTGGTCCAACTAACATGAGGAAGTTCTTCAAATTTCATCTTCTCTTATCCACAATGAATATTCCAAATTCACAAGTGTATAACTTTGAGTTTTAGACATTTCTAAATTGTTCCCAGGGAATAGGACAGCAAAAGAGTTCTGAAGAAATAATGTTCTTTTTCTATCCTTACATGATACTCATTTTTACAGTAAAATATTTTACTTAAGAAAGTTACAAATCATTAAATAATCATATAGTTGGGCTGTAAAGTCTATTTCATGGAGTCTCAAACATAAATGAACAGTTCTAGAATATATAAATGTGTGCAACTTAATGGAGAGAGCTGTATACTTATCCGGGTGTTATTTTTTTTCTGTGAGAAGAGATAATCTGATATCTTAGGCAATCTCATCATTCTCTGGAACAGTCTGCTTCTTATTTCTTGAGACTAACATCTGTAGTCTTTGAGTATTCATTCCATCCAGACAGATGTGAAAATGAAAAGAAGTGGTATTGTCCTAGAGAGTATTACACTCAAAGCAGTAATAGAATATTTTGGGCTCCATGAATTTTTACTTCCTTAATAGCTTCTCTTAATACAAAAATCCTTATAGATTAACTGAGGAGCTTAAGAAATCAAGACAATTCAGGAGGCAAAAGAATTTTTTTCTTGTAATATAAAAAGATATGCCTACCTTTGTGGAATATAAAACATATGTTGAGGAGGCGGTTTATAGAGGACTCCTTCATACACAGGCCAGAGCCCACTTAGAATTCTGAAGAGAGAACTTTTCCCACAACCATTGGGACCAGTTATCAGAAGATGCATTCCTTCTTCTACCTAAAGTAAGAGATAAAATTACAAACTGCAATAGTTTAAAATGATTTCTTTTGGCATCATCTAAAAGTGAAATTTTTTTTAATGTTCAAACACATGATAACCTCAGATGGGTAAGAGATCAAAGAAAAACATTTCAGGGCTGAAAACAAGTTTGACGTTTGACTATGCTCTGAAGCTAAAAGCGTCATACAGTAATTCAATTAGAAAGAAAATGTATCTTCTTGAAATGTCCACTGGCTTTCCAAAATTTTAATTTAGGTCTTGTTATCAGATACCACATACACACAGAGAAAAACAACTACATGGGAAATAAGTCAAGTCATAAAAATTTAAATAAAAATATATTACGTTGTATTTTTATATCGATAATTGATTAAATTTATGTTGAATTCAAATACAACTGACGATTAACTGCAGTTATTAGCTACAAAGCACAGTTATCCAAGGCATCGGTTGGGTTGTTTAATTTTGTACTTCAGCATTCTGGTATGCTCCAAAAAAATCATAAGAGTCCATAATGAGAGAGAGAAGATGATTCTCTCTCTCGAATTATGCTTTATTTGCAGATGGAGAAAACACATTTAACAAACCAAGGACAGAGGAAAGCAAGAGGACTGTAACTTAGTCTCATGGCTAGGGATGAATTAAAACACACACACACACACACACACACACACACACACACACACACACAGAGATAGACTATTACATATATGTTAATAATATATATACATAATATTCATCAATAAAACAGAGGTTATTTATCTATTATCTGTTGGATGCTTCCCTTTATTTTCTCTCTTATTTATTATTTAAATTTAAACTCTTAAATTTTATGAGTTCCCATTCCACACCACAGGATGAAGAAGTTGTTTCATTATGGTATTTAAAGGGTACTGTGAAGAACGAGCAATAGAAACAACATTTAAAAATTTTATTTGCTTCTACTAAGAGCAAATGAAATTTTATAATCAGTGATGCCCAGAAAATAAATATCAGAAATTTACAGGATGTCTGTTGATCTAGCTTTGTATAGAAAAAGACCAATATTCAAGTAACAATAATGTAGAATATATCATACTGAAACTCAAAGATAAAGGAGTATTATATTGTTAGCATACCAAGAAAAATCTCAGAAAGAACCTAGGAAAAACTTAGGGAAAACACTAAGGGTTTAATTTTGTAGAAGCATAAATATTTTTCAAATGATTTTTAAACAACACACATACTATGGTGAGAGGCACATTGGCAAAATATCTTAATAGGGCCTTTCTCTATTAGAAATTCTCAGAAATCACTTTGTGGGGGTAATTGGAGACTTTCTACATTAATATTAGTATTTTCTCAGCATAAATTATCTGATGTTTAGTAAACAGTGAGACAAAAAGAATTCTCACACTGACTTTTCTTCCCCAAGTGATTTTTAAATTTTTTAAAATTTTTATTTCTTTATTTCGAGACAGAGTCTCACACTGTCTCAGGCTGGAGTGCAGTGGCATAATCTTGGCTCACTACAACCCCTGCTTCCTGGGTTCAAGTGATTCTTGTGATTCAGACTCCCGAGTAGCTGGGATGACAGACCCCTGACACAACGTCCTGCTAATTTTTGTATTTTTAGTAGAAATGGGATTTTACCATATTGGCCAAGTTGGTCTTGAACGCCAGACCTCAGGTGATCTGCCCACCTCAGCCTCTCAAAACATTGGGATTACAAGCATGAGCCACTGCTCCTGGCCTGCAAATGATTTTTAAATCTTGAAGGCTAACAAAGGTACGAGATCGTTTCTGTAGAAACTTATTTTTCAATCTATGCAGAGGAAGCAGAACTTTCTATTATATTTTAGGGATGTGAGAATTTAAATATAATTCTCTGAGTTAGACCAAGAAAGTGTACTTTGCTAATGTATATCTTTTCACAACTTCAAACCTTCTAAGATACTTTCACTAGATGGAGAATTTTTAGTTTAGTTCATTTTACATAAAAGAAACTGAGCTGTAAATTTTTCTGCAGACTGTGATATGTCCATGCTAATGTACTTAGTAGGCAAAGCTCAAGACATGCACACTATTTATTTAATAAATAGAGCAACAAGAGTTGATATTATAAAACCTATCCCGACCAAAAAAAAAATCCCTCTCTATAAAATCATAAATTATAAATTATGAAACCATTAATAATAGTTAAATACTGTATGTATGCCATGGGTACCTAATCAGTATTTGTGGTCGGATCCTAGTAATGAGACCACCTTATAGGTCTATACATGGAAAAATAAAGTCTGACCAAATTACAGCTAAAATACAGTTTCTTTAAATTGACTGACGCAGTATTTTACCCTGTTCAGTGCTGCTCATCTCCTTTCAACTCTCAGTAACCCAAAATATTTGCAACTACATCTTTAATAATTAAACCATGACTAAAGTCCATACCAAAATCATTAATTAGCATATGCATTGTCATTTTTGTAATTCTTTTATCAAGTTAAATAATGTCTTTGTTTGAACTAAGCTCAACTTGCTATAATAGTCAATGCTTGTCAGCAAATTACTTTGTACTTCAATCCCAAAATGTGCATTTGAATTTCATAATGCCTTAAGCTAGAGTTTCAGGTTTATTAAATACTTTTACTTTTTAGTTTTTGTAATCTATATATAAGATATTAAATAAATTATTGTCAACAGAATTAAAAACTAAATTCCAATTCATAAGGCTTCTGATTATTTGATAACAGTACATTAGTACCTGTAATTACTTTCAAAATGTAAGTTACAGAATGTATATTGACAAAATAAAACTTGCTTGTGACCTCTATTTATATTTTAGTGAGTATATTACAGTATAGGCTTTTTAAAAAGTAGTTCCTATAAGGCAAAAAATTAAAATTTATTTTCAGGTAAAAATTTCTGATGAAATTTCCTATTGTTTCCCAAAATTACCTTGTGTGCTATAATTTTTATTTTCAACCTGACAATAAAGCAGTAGAAATCAAATTTCCCTTTTCTCCCTGCTTTCTGAGGAATAACTGCTTCTGTAACTGAGCCACTGTGCATACCTTTCTTGACTTCCCCTTTCCAAATGCTCCTCCAAGTATTTAACATAAGGTACATGAATTCTGAGTTGTTTTGTATTAGTGTGATGGCAACAATCAGAAGATTCTTGAATATCATCTTACTTTGAAGTTTAGCCTGGAAGCCACCACTTCTCCTGCTGGTGTAATTATGGGAACATTTTCACAAATAATTCCGTGATCCACATCAATAACTTTTCCTGTAATTAAGAAAAGTGTAAGATACAAATGTTATCAAAGATTGCTGATTAAATAAATTATAATGCAGTATAACAGGTAAATTCAATTATAAAGATAATTCACAGTAATAAATCACAGAAACAAATGGAAATGTAAATATCCAGACCTGAAGCAAATCTGATGTAATGCAAATTTGTACATATTGACACAACTACTTGGAAAATCTTTCCGAGAAACATTGTTTTATAATAATTGAATGTCAACATCATTACAGTAGCCAAGTTATACAATCTGAAATGACCCAGTCATAATTTTTACAACTACTCTATTTCCCTAAATTAACATTTCCTATAGAAAAAAATTACGGTGCTGCAAAAAAGAGAATTAAGACATAGAATAGTGAAATTTTAATGAATACGGAACCAAACTTAAGTTTAGAAACAGTATAATGAAGAACAACATGATATTAGCTCTAATTCTATGTGTTAGTTGAATTTTTAAAGCAAAGATTCATTATGCCCTATGTGTAGTTTCCAAAAATGATTTGGAAAATTGTGTCCTAAACAAAAGTAGCCTAACACTGTGTTTTTATGGAAATGTTAGTCACCACCCCTCAACTTGCAATACTAATATTAGATTGCTGTTTAAATAACGTTGGTTATTTATGTTGGTTCCTTTTAACTACTAAAAGCTATCTTCTTAAACTTTGGTTCTGTGTATGAACCTTAAATATAGGAAAATATAAGAGCACTTGAGTTTGATACCTTTAATTGCCAATGTGTCACTGAGAGGTAATTCTACATTAGCTCCATTCTTGCTATGGCTTTCAGACTCTTGAATAACAGCGGTTCTCTTATAAATGCCTCTTTTTACTTCATCAAAGACCCAAAACATATTGTACACTCGAGCAGTGTAGCCTGCTAATTCAGTGATCTAAAAGCAATGCAGAGAGATAAAATAGAGTTTACCCAAGACAAGATTTTAAATAAATACATAATCATGTAAACTTCTTGACTTAATGTTAAAGATCCTACTTTATTATACATGAGACATAGATAATACATCTGAAAACTAAAACAAATGACAGTACAAAGCTTACCAAAAAAAGCATAACACAATAATATGTTTGATTGAAATCATAAAACACATAATATACAGATTTCAAAATATTAATGAGACTTAAGGATCTTTCAGTCAAATTTCTGTGGGCCTCTGTTGATATGATGAAATTCATTTCCAAAAAATTATAAATTTTGTAAAAAGCTTAAGATCATTCAGTAAAATTATAATCTTTTATTTTTAGTATCTTTTTTTCTATTTAAAATAGAAGGATTTAAGTAGGAGAAAAGTACCTTTTTTTTCAATTAGGAAATGAATGTTTCTGAGCCAAATTGATTGTCAAAATTCCTATATTTGGCAGGATACCAATATTGGGAGCAAGCTCAATGCAAAGCTTCAAATCCTTTTTCGTATAATTCCCACAATTCAGCTTCTCTTGAAGCCAAACATGATTTATATGCCCAAAGAAAAACATTAAATAATTATTTTTTTAGGTAAGATTATAAGATGAGATAAATCTCTAGTCCGCAGGGCTCAATGGAATGGTGCCTTGTTCCTATTCTGTCAACTGTTCATTTCAGTTAACCTCCTGCTATTTTTATATTAAGAGAACACCTTGCTACGAGGGTACTGTGAAAGGTGATTCATTTCCTATCAAGAACATGTTTCTCAATGAAAAAGAATGCACAAGAACTAAGGATAGTTCTTGCATAAGCATAAGCAAGGCACATCAGAAATAAATGTTTCTTAATAGATTTCAGAATAATACAACAATGCTGACATTTGTGTAAGATTTCTGTGTATGCAAAACATAAGCAGTAAATGAGTAGATATTACTGTTAAAAGCCTTTTACCACACATCCCTTCTGAGAGATCTGTAATTACACTCTCATTTCTATATGTTGATGTTATAGCTATTTAGATGATAATTTCTAATGTTATCTGGAAGAACTTCTTGAGTTGCCAAGTAGAGGAAAACATATTTAAAGATTAACAAAATATAGATTCAAGTGAAACCCAGGCAAATATAAATAGTTGCATAGAAAAAGAATCCAAAACCAGAGGTAGAAGTTAATTCAAGAAAGGCAGGAGGCAGTAAGTCAGTGGACCAGGATGGAGTGTGAAGACGGCAGGAGTGTCTGAAGAAAAGTAAGAATGTGCCTGTAGACAAATTATTTTGGGGTGCAAAACAAGGGAATTTATCTTAGAACTCTAACTCTAAAAGGAAACCTGGCTCCGCTGCTGCTAGCAGAGACAGCATGGTGAGTGCTTTCACATGTTGTCACATCAGTACAAGAATTTTTAGAAGTGAACATTTTAGGATTAAAAGTAAATTCAGGCAAAATAAAGCAAAATACAATCATTCGTTGAGTTGGAGACAGTTTAGAAAAACTAGTTTATATCATTTCTTTAACCTAGATACCACAATACTTTAATGTGTGATAAACAAAATTTTAATATTAAATAATTCATTACATCAACATATCTATCCCAAAGACTGTGTCTCCAGATTATCAAAATTACTATTTGATTTTTAAAAAATTGAGTTACTTGCTAGCCCTTTGTAACTCTTTTATATAGTTTATTCAAGTCTGACTCAGTATGCAGCTGAATTTATAAGGATGCTCTAGAAGTTACATTGATGTGATAGCCATAAGAGTAATTCATAAGAGAATAACTTTTATGGGAATATTAGGTAATGTCTGAATTAAGTAATTTTAACCTTGGCCCAGTGGTAACTGCAGGTCTTACTACTATTTTGTCAACAAATATTTACTAACCACATACTTTCCCCATTTTATAGATGAGGAAACAGAGATATAGATGCATTAAGGAACTTGACTCAAGTCACATAATTTGTAAATGCTAGAGCAAAAATGAAAATTTAGGCACTCTGGCTCCAGAGTTCAGACCTAGGGTTTTCTTTAAAATGTAAAAACAAAGATGTCATACTACTGAAATAAAAAGAGAACAACTGATAGTGTAAAAAACAAAGGATATTGGCAGCATTACACTTGGGAGTTGCTGCCCTTATCTTGATTATACTCAGCAATTTTTGGCAGAGAAAAGATATGTTTCCAAAATACTCAGTATACTTGGTAATTTACATTTTGGTTGATTTCATAAATTTTATTTTAATAGAATTGACAATAAGAAATGCAAGTACCTCTTTGTATGAAGACATAATCCTTTCAATAGCATCAGCTCCAGAGGCCAGTAAATTTCGAGCAGTGGTAAAGGCTTCTGTCCGTTCACTAACCATAGCTTGCTTTTGACCATCCTCTAGATATAAAAGCAAATTACAAAACTACTGAGTTTTTTTTTTTTTTTAGTAACTTAATGTTTTATACTATGCAAACTAAATTGTGGCTAAACAATCACATATTAATTTTTCATTAGTAACAGCAATTTTCTAGAAAGATAATGAATTATTGAAAATACAGTGTTTGTGCTGGGTGCAGTGGCTCACACTTGTAATCCCAGCACTTTGGGAGGCATAGTTGGGCAGATCACTTGAGATCAGGAATTCAAGACTAGCCTGGCCAATATGGTGAAACCCTGTCTCTATTAAAAATACAAAAATAAGCTGGATATGGTGGCATATGCTTGTAGTCCCATCAACTTGGGAGGCTGAGGCAGGAGAATCACTTGAACCCAGGAAGTGGAGGTTGCAGTGAGCTGAGATCATGCAATTGTACTCCAGCCTGGGCCACAGAGTGAGAGCCCATCTCAGAAAAAGAGAAGAGGAGAGGAGAGGAGAAAAGAGAAGAGGAGAAATGAAAGAAAAGACAGTGTTTGTATCAGATTTTGTTTAAAGTTCTTCTTGTTTTAGTATTTTTCTAAAAGGGAAAAATAAATCGAAAGGAACTAAAGACTATTTTCAGTCGGCATTCTTTCAGCCCTTTCCGTATCTGACTCCCTGCCCTTAAGAGGGAGCCATAAAGTACTACTGGTCAGTGGCTCACTCCTGTAGTCCTGGCAATTTGGGAGGCTGAGACAAGCAGATCACTTGAGGTCAGGAGTTTGTGACCAGCCTGGCCAACATGGTGAAACCCCATCTCTACCAAAAATAAGAAAATTAGTTGGGCATGATGGCAGATCACTATAATCCAGTCTACTTGGGAGGTTGACTCATGAGAATCACTTGAACACTCAAGACTGGGTAATAGAGTGAGAACTTGCCTCAAAATAAAATAAAATAAAATAAAATACCTACTGAGCAAAAAAAAATGGTATTGATCTGATAATTAAATATTAATACACTAACTTCAATATAAGGAAACATTTATGGTGTGGCTTTTTAAATAGAAATGCAAATTAGCTGATTCTCATAATCTAGCCTCTATCATCCCTTTCTCAATCATCCCTCACCATATGCTCCAGCAGCACCCCATACATGACATAGTTTATTAGTCCTCTGGTATAAGTGATTTCTTCAGATTTTATCATACCTTTCCTTCCTTTCTTGCCTCTTTCTCCTTCTTTAAGAGTTAACACTTTAGTAAAGATTTTCCTGAGAATCCTTGTCACTTTTAGTGGACTATAATTTCTTTGAAGGTCAAGAGTGTGTGATTTATTCTTTACTCCTAGTATTCAGCATAGTGTCTAACACATAGACCTCTGTAATGTGTATTGAATGGATGGATGGATGGATGGATGGATGGATGGATGGATAGATGGATGGATGGACGAACATCCTAAATTACTGTCAATGCAGAATTATGGTTAAGATTTGGTAATCAGACTAGGTTTGAATCTAGGTTTTACTCCTTATGAGCAAGTTATAAGGTAAGTAGGGCAAGACACTTACCTTGCCACACCTATTTTCTCACCTGTAAAATGAGGTACATAACTATCGTTTTCTTAGGGTTCTAAGGGTTATTGGTGGAAACCAAATGAAGTGTTAGTCCAATACATGGCCCACAGTAAGTGCTTTAAATATCAGCAGTTAATATTTTTTCTAGTTGTTGATGCTATTGTTGTATATCCACTCAGTTTTTTTTTAGTTTTCAAAATTACATTTCCAGGTTGTTACTTTAATGTTTCCATCAACTTGATTCTCTAGTTGGTCCTTCTATAGATTGTCTTCAAAATTCCAAACTAGATATTATAAATTAAGGAAGAAAGTAGCAGTGATATAGATGGCCACAGGCCCATTTTGACATTTATTTCACTCTAATTTATCTCAAAAGATTTCAGTGCAAAAATAGAATTTGTACCTTGCCATCATTACCAGATATTTTTACCTGCTATGCTCATAGACAGCTCAATTTATTTTGAAAGGATACCTGCACAACTTAAGGTAAAATAAGATACTGTGGGATGTAACAGGAATAAGTGTGATTTTCAGACATTTTTTTCCTGAGAGAGCTTGCAGCTTGGTAGAAGAGAGATGTCATATTCCTAAATGATTATGCAGGGAAGCCTGCAATGCACAGTGCTTGGAGAAGGCAAAAATTATTACTTGCTTCCAGAGACAGGAAATGCTTCATGGAGGAGTAGATTTTGAGAGATGTCTTGAAGATGGCATAAAATTTTAATAGATCACAAGTACTGTGTAAGCAATGGTACAGAGAAGGGAGATGTCAAGTAATGCTAATTGAATGACAAATTGGTTAAGTTTGCAGTATGGGTTGATGTCAAGCACTAATTTCACTGACTATCAGAATCACCATAGTTCACGGAGACGTTTTACCACTGTCCAATGTGTCCTTTCCTAGCCCTACTGCTAATCACTGCTCTAGAGAACTACTGTTAGTCCCCTTGAAGTTAATTAGTTGTTTACTTAAGGAAGGAAAACGAAAAGGCTCAGCCTTGGAATAAGGGAGAAGCAAAAGATGTGATTACATAAATAGACTAGGCACAGAATATAGATATTCTTAAAGACATGTAAATGTGTGATAAAATTTAGATAGCCACAAAAAGAGTACCAAAATAGTAAATTGCTGTATCAGTTAAAATGCTAAGAATAGTTTTGGCTCATAGGAAATCTGGCTGACAATCTAAAATAATTATGGGATTTTTTGAATTTGGGTTAAAAGGGATTTGAATAGTATTTTTCATTGACAGCCTCCATTAAGAGGAAAAAACATTTGCACAGATGGACTGGCATTTCACGTGGCTTGATAATTTCTGTCTTGCTTTGGCAGATTAATGCCTATTGGGTATTCTTCATGTTTTTAGCAATAAAATAACAAAAGCTTCCCCAGATTTTATGTGGCTTTTCATTCTACTAGTTGTTCTGTGGCAGGTATTGTGAGAGCTTTGCCAGCAGTATTTTCTTATGCACGCAACAGCCAATTGCCTGACCTCTAAGACGTGGCCAGATTCCTTAGTGTCAGAGATATAAATCCATGACCTAAAATGCTAAGCAGTTTTTATTCTAGGTCATTGCATTCTTTTTGTCCTCACCAAATATTTTAGCTATTTTGGCAAAAGTTCTTCATTTAAGGATTTCATATTCAACACTATACCCGTTCATTTTACTGCTAATTTTGAGCTCTGATAGTAACAAGTGCACACTTGGTCACATCTCTTGTTATTTCACAGAAAAGATGGGAAAGAATTTTAAACTTAAGATTATACCTTTTGTATTTGTCATAACCCTTAGAGCTGTACATCACAAAGAGTGAAGCATAATATAAATTATGAAGTTTAGTTTATAAGGAATAAATATTTGTTCAGCAGTTGTAATGAATGTTCCTCACTAATATAAGGTATAAGTCATAGGGGAAACTACAGGGGGAGAGGATACCTTCCAATAAATTTTTGTAAACCTGAAACTTATTTAAAGAAATAAGGTATATTAATTTTTTAAATAAAAAGTAAGTTTATTCCTCTACTCTTTTCAAACTTATTATCTGAGTTTATTTCTCTTCATTTATCTTTCTCTTTGTCATCTTGACAAATCTTGACAAAATTTACAGCCTGCACCTATTCTCCACCATATATAAACACCCATGCTAAATGACTGAAGATCTGAATGTGAAATGAAAAACCAAGGAAATTTCTAGAAGATACAATAAGGAATATCTTTATTATGTTGGTTTAGGCAAATATTTCTTAAATAGGACATAAAACCACTAACTACAAAGAAAGCTATTGATGAATTAAACTATACTAAAAGTATGATCTATTATATATCATTAAGAGAGTGAAAAGGCAAGACACAGAGTGGGAAAATATATTTGAGATTAAATGTGTGTGCATGTGTGTACGTGTGTGTGAGTTGTGCATGTATATTATCTATCCAAGAAATGACTCATTACATAATACATAAGAGTTTTACAGATCAGTAAGAAACAACTGATAAATCAATGTAAAAATTAGCAAAAGACTTACAGGCACTTCATAACAAAGGCTATCCAAATGTCCAATAAATAAATAAAAGTGCTTAGCCTCATTAGTAGTTAGAGAAAGGCAAACTAAGGCCACAGTGAAGTCCCACTACACACTCATGAGAGTGTCTAAAATGAAAAGCCAGACAAAGATGTGGAGGAAATAGAACTCTTACATATTGATGTTGAGAATGTAAATTCAAAGAACTTCTTTTCGAAAACTGTTTTACAAAATCTACTAAAGCTGAACCTATGCATAGCCTGTAATCTAACAATTCTACTTCTAGTTAAGTGTCCACAGATATGTATATATACACCAAAAGATACAGACAAATTGTTCTTAGCAGCACTCTTACTAATTCCCACCAAACCAGATACAATCTAATATCTACTAACAACAGAATAGTTAAATAAAGTGGTATAGTTACACAATGGGGTGGTACATAACAATGAGAATAAAAATACTATGGTTATACTCAGTAACACTGATGAAGTTCATAAGCATAATACTGAGTGAAAGAAGCTAGTCATAAGAGAGTATGCATTGTATAATACTATTTATGTAATTTTCAAATTAGCAAATACTATTTGATAGTGAGTAGCAAATGCTACTTGATAGTCAGTATACTTTGTGACAACTCATTAGCACACTAATGATTATGCCCTTATTGGCATAAATGCTGTTCTTTTAAACAATTATAGTCACTTATATGCATACATAATCAGAGTAGTAAAATATGCCTTTGATGTGTATTGATAATACTGCTGTGTTCATTGGTCAAAAAGAGTGCAATTATATCCAAATTGGCCCACAATATAAAATAACATTTCAACAATTTGGCATTGGAATATGAGACAATAGTACCGCAGAAGCTTGGATATAGTCTTACTGGAGGTACATTTTAGGAATAAAAGCATCACCCATGCTACTGGAGTGCAGGTAGTGTCTTTCAGCTATTCCTGATATTCTACTTCATACTCCCAGATCACACACATGTGGACATTACTGGCAGTGCTGGTGGCTCAGATGGTCTTTTTTCCTGTCTGTTAGGTGTCTGTGATAACATACTGACAGAGGAACCAATACACAGCTTTCACTGGCCTCTTTGCCTAGAACAGCTTTTGATATCAAGAGAAGAAAGGCAGCCTACTAATGTTAAAGAACTGAGGTTGTAGACCTCAGGTAACTATTTTCCTCCCATAATTTCAGTCATTCTCTTAATATTAAGTAAAATGATAGCCTTTAAAAATAATATAATAGAAACTCTACATAATTAACCACTTCAATGCCTCTTTATCAACCATTTGGTCACATGATTACTCTGCCTCAAACTTCCCCATGTTTCTTATAGAATAAATTCCAGTGTGCTAACACGGTGGTAGCATGCTGCAGTAGAAAATAGCAGTGTATCTGGAGTTACATAATGCCCTCCATCCTTAGGGCTTCCCCTAACTACCTGTGTGACTTTAGGAAAAGCTGGGGCTCTAAACTAGATGGGCTTTAAGATCCTCTCCTGATGTCAAAATGCTGTGTTCTATATGTAATTTTATAATGTGTATTTGAATACAAACATAATCCTCTCCTTGCCCTATTTCACTTAAAGTTTTAGGTAGAGAGTACAGCAAATCTGCTCTAATTTTTCTTTTCCCTTCCATCAAAAATTATGCAGGTTCTTCTTCCTATCTCCATTTTCGCATCTGAATTCCTGATCACTGTCAAACCTCTTGCTTCTTTAAACTACAACAATGATATGTTAGCAAACACCTATTGAATATCTGTGAGGCAGGTCTTGTTCTAAGTTTTACATATCTGATCTTCTTTAATGCTTGTAACAGCCCTGCTGTAATTTCTGTCATTTTTGTAGTAGAAATGGCAGGACACAAGGTTACATGATTTTCCGAGGGTCGCAGCCTAGAAAGCAAAAAAGCCAGCATGTGATCCAGAAAGTCTGACTCAGGAGCCACAGGGTAAGAATATGATAAATATTAAAGATTGCTTCTACCCAGATTCTTAGCTAGCCAAGAACTGTTTTAAAGCACATTAAGTATGTTACATGTCATTTCATAAAAATTTTGAAAGATATGTATAATTATCTCTATAGTGAAGGTAGGAAAACTGATGCATATAAAGTGTATGTAACTTTCCCAGGAAAGGATAACTATTAAAAACGAGAGGCAACAAACATATCAACCGTGGCCTTCTTTTTTCTAGCCTCTTTTCCCTCCTCTATTTTACGTTTTCCCCTTCTGACTCACCTATTTTCTACCTTTTTTTTTTTTTGCCTTAATATATATAGCATCATGTACTTTATCTCTAACAACTAAAGGCATAAGTATAAAGTATGACTGAAGAATAGATTAGAATACATAGTATATAATTACAGGAACTAAAGCTTTGAAGATATACTATTATCTTAAAAAAAATTCAGCCAGGCCAGATGAGGTGGCTCATGCCTGTAATCCCAGCACTTTGGGAGGCAGGGGTGGGCAGATCACCTGAGGCTGGGAGTTTGAGACCAGCCTGACCAACATGGAGAAATTCCATTTCTACTAAAAATACAAAATTAGCCAGGTGTGGTGGTGCATGCCTGTAATCCCAGCTACTTGGGAGGCTGAGGCAGGAGAAGAACCCCTTCAAACCCGGGAGGTGGAGATTGTGGTGAACTGAGATTGCACCATTGCAATCCAGCCTCGGCAACAAGAGTGAAACTCTGACACACACACACACACACACACACACAATTGGCTGTGTGTTGTGGCTCATGTCTGTAATCCTAGCATGACCCTTTGGGAGGCAGAGGCGGGTGGATCACTTGAGGTCAGGAGTTCAAGACCAGCATGACCAACATAGTGAAACCTCATCTTTACTAAAAATACAAAAATTAGCCAGGCACGGTGGCAAGTGCCTGTAATCCAAGCTACTTGGGAGGCTGAGGCAGGAGTATCTCTTGAACCCAGAAGGCGGAGGTTTCAGTGAGCTGAGATCTCACTGCTGCTCTCCAGCCTGGGTGACAGAGTAAGACTCCATCCCCCCCAAAAAATTCTTTCGTCTAAGTAAAGTAACTTGATATTTTCTTGTGTTAAGTCTTTGTATGAGAAGCATGTTTAGTAAATACATACATATACATGCAAACATTATAAGCACATATAGTAACCTTTGGTATTGCAGATTTTGAAGAACATTCTCAATTAATGTTCTGTCATATGAATTCATTTTTTATCTATGAAATTCTTACACTTTCTCTGTATAAAAATTTTCTTTTGAAAGAAGCTTTAGGAAATACTTTGTTTCACTTGTCTCAATGTGATTACTATATTTCAATATAAAGTTTTTAATGTTTCTTTAATTTAATATGGTATTTTCAGGATTTGTAGAATTTATTTTTAAACATATTATCACATCTTGTTAAGTAAGCTTGTTAGATTGTTTGTATACATTGTTTACTTCTTACTGGTCTCTGTGGGGTTAATTTGTCACCATTAATAGCTGCATTTTCACCGTTCTGTGCTGAATACTCCAGGGTTTTCTAATAACTCCAGTGTGTCCAAGTACTGACTAACAAAACTACACTATAATCTCACCTATAGAGTTGTCTCTAATATGCATTGTATATGACATTTTTAATGAGTATTGCTATTTTAAGAAATGACTTTTTAAGTGAATATCTGATAATTTTTAATTTCTTTTTAGTAAAACTAATCTTAATACTGTAGATTTTAAAGCGTCTTTTTCTCTCTATACTCTTTTGAAAAAGCAATTGTATTTCATTATGAAAGGATTATGTCTAAAATACTATTACTAACAATGCCTTTTGCAATATAAACTTTTTAAAATGAAATTCTTTTTAGCAAATTTTGAAACATAAAACCAGAAAAAATTCAATTTTCTCAGTGGTCTAAATATACTATCTGTTACACCATTCATTTGTGAAGTATAATTGATATATGTATACTATTTGCCACAAAGAAAGGCTGACAAATACTAACTGACTAAAATGAATATATTTATGTTAAGAATAACTCAACTTTGAGAAAAGTGTTTTCGTAAGGATTGGTTAAAACACTGAAGCACTGTTTCAGAACATTAAGGCATATTGTAATGACTTGTTTTTATTAGATCTCTTCAAACAAATAACTTAATCCTTAATTCTACACAAAAATAACTGTAGAACAATGTAACAATGTTCTCAGTTTTCTAGAATAATTGTCAATTGTGGTAATAATTGTCACCTTTTGTTTTCTAGGTAATAGTTGTCACTATATATCAACTATAACATGCTCTGTGCTTCAAAACATTATTCAATTAAGTCCTCACAACAATTCTCTGAAGCATCCTTTCTGATTCTCATTTTACAAATGAGGAAACTAAGGTACAGAGAGTTTAATTAACATGACTAAGAGGATACAAGTAGGGAACTGAAAGTTGAACAAAACTCTGTCTCACTCTAAAGCCTATGCTTTTGTCTAGATCCTTCAACACCAGGGCCAATTTTTAGTCCCGTGATTTTTAAGGAGGGATGCCTTATTTTAGGAAAAGAGTAGAAAATACTTCTTCAGTTAATTCTTCTCTGTTCCAACCCATTAAGATCCAAACTCCCATCCAAGGATGATACAACCTGTTAACATTGTCTTTTCTTCCTTGCCCTTATTTTTCTTAGTTATTCCGAAGAATGAAAACTGTTATTAAAAACTGTCGAGGCAGTGATAAGACAGAATTAGCCAGCTGCAGCTTGGCAATCACCATTCCTACGATACCACAAATCATGCCGCATAGGAGGTTATCTGTATTATTCACAAGCAGAGGAGCCCTTGTTCCATGGCATTTAAGCATTCCCTGAAACAATACTTTTGGTTGCTCATTGCAGTCAACTGACTTTTCAAATCACAAAGCAGGGCAAATTCAGTTACAGAATATTTGTAGACTAAATGTGTGGGAAGTGTAGAACTAACGTTTATAACACATGAGGAAAGCTTGTGTTATACTCTTTCTGAGGGTACTAACTTGTCGAGGTTAAGTGTAAACTAGAGAGTCATTCTATATTAGGCAATATAATTAAAATTGCTCAAAGTCAACTCCCAGAAACATTGCATCAGAGAACTCTGAAATATCTCAGAACTGGGATCATCTTTGAGCCACTGTCTCCTTATTTCATACTGCTGGTCTTATTACTGGACTCTAAAGTCTGCCATTGTTTCTGACCATTAGTAACTAAAATAATGACTATGTACACAGTTTAGCTCACATAAAACTAGCAATGACACCTTCAAAAGAAATAGTGTTAAACATAGATTTGAGATTAAGCGTAAATGTCATTACCACCATCTGCAAAGCCAGTTGCAGTGATAATAGGTATAGCCACCATAATTAGTCCACTGCTGCTCCAAACATACTTCATTAGGAACTGTTCTATCATGATGTACCACAAACGTTTGGATAAAATGAGGTTCATCTGATCTGCTAAAGCTTTGTAACTTTTCTGAAGTTGTTTCATTTCTACCTATAGAGGGAAAAGAGATAATAATTAACCCAGGATGAACTATAAACATAAACATTGCCTATGCTTGAGGACTTTCTTTAAAGATATATGTATATTCTTCTGTTTTTCTTAGTATGGCATTATCTCTGCATCTTAACAACCAAAAATTGCAGATTAATACCAGTATTAGTTATTATTTAGTTTTGGTCACATGTGCATTATGTTAAAAAAACTTATGCTACTCAGTGGACATAATGTTGGGTATAAAATACATATAAGTAATTTATAGTTATGACATTTAAATTATATGTATGAGATATTGAAACTAAATGATATTATGTAAGACATGAATAAACAATTGTTAGAGCTTTGTCCTTCTTGATCACACCAAAAAGATCTGAAAATGGACACATGATATACATATGTATAGATTCCACTTTTGAACCGACTCAATTTGTTAGATTTTTGTCTTTTATGCAAGAAGTGTAAGCACACTATAATTTATGTCATTGAATTCAAGAGTTCAAAAAGAATCACAAATCAATATGCTATAATACAACATATGAGGTCAATTTTCAAGAAGTCCTAAATTTGCTTTAAATATTCTTTTTCAGATTGCTACTGCTACCAAAAAAAAACACCGATAATTACAGATGCTTTAAAAATTAAATAATTCTGCTTGGTGATTGACATGCCATCTTCAACAGTAGAACACTTTTATGTTATTCGCCAAGTCATTTAAATTAAGATTTTATTGCCTTCAAAATTTCTGTCTTATTTCATATTCTGAAGTTAGCTTCATGCACTGCAAATATGTACCACTGGGTTAATTGTCTTAGGGATCTGCTTAATGTTGAAAATCTTTAATAATTAAAAACAACATTCTGAAACTCCTTTTGTACTCCTCATTGCTTGTCTAATCTCAGCTTTTATTTCAAAGCTAAACAAAATTTCATTTCACTGCCTCTTTTCATTTTATCAAAATATATTGCTGAACATGAACTAAAAGTAACAGAAATTCCGTTTTGAGAGACACTCTTCTACACTTCTTAGGAGTGAGGATGTTCCATATTGAGCAGACATGCAAAATCGTTAAAAATGTCTTTTATAAGAAATCATGGTTGCCCCCGACTCTGACAACAAAGGAACAACAAAGAATATTATTCTAAATTTTTCACTTCAGTGGAAATGTGTTTAGTCTTAGTTTGCAAATATAAATTTTCTTCTGGTAGGTGCTTTAGGACCACCTGCCAAGTTGGGATTTACATTTTAAGAAAATGCCTTAGAAATAAATCTGAGCATATTTGAGTAACTGAAGCTAAGTCGCTTTTTTAGAGTGTTGCAAATTTTATTCTCATGAAACTTTAAATAAATTTGCACCCTATAATTCTTTAACTAGTTACAGTTAAAAGGGGTAATGAAGCATACATTTTAATTCAGGTTTAGATGTCAGAGGAATCTAAGACACTAAAGAAGTGGGTCCATCAACAGGACAACAGATGGTATCTAGCACCGCAGTGGCAGCTTAAACAGTCTCACATTTCACCCCTCACCTTAATTTCTATCTTACCTTATGTCCTCCGTAAAAGGCAATTTCTTCTACATTGGCTATAATTCTGGAGTGCACATACCGCAAATAGCCTTTTCTATGAGCTTCCTCTGCCACAAGTTTGCCAAATTTGGGAGAACAGGCTTTCAACACTTTAGCAGTGGCATATACCACAAGTCCTGCTAATAGGGTGGGCCCAATTGGGCTTGCTCCTCTGGATGTAGCAGTTTGGATGAGTGTATAGGAGGTCAGGATTACATCTAAAATAGGTTTGGTCAGATTGGAATACAAGTGAGCCACAGATTGGGAGAACATCATAATATCCTCAGTAAGAGATTGGTCAGGGTTTGCCAGCCTCCCATCCATATTAATCACTTTATAATAAGTCTGATTTGTAAAATAGGTTTCGTAGGCATGGTCTACTAGGCGAGTTCTGAAAGCCAACGCCAATTTGCATTCCAGGTACCTTATTGCACTGTTGACGAAGGTAGCAGGGATGGCAATCATAAGCCACTTGATTAATTTGATGATGAAAGTCCGAGGCTTCTTTTCCACAATGCTTTTCACGATTTTTCCATCCAGACCAGCCACATAAATAGACAGAAAGGTTCTTGAGATTAGAGCCACTGAGTGCAGGCAGAGCCACCCTGTTTCAGTGGTCACAAGTTTTGGAAACAAAATTTTCCGAAGTTCTAGTAGCTGTTTGAAGAAATCTGCATTCACTCCAGGAGAAGGTTTTTTACAAATGCTCTCGGTGCAATGCAGTATTTCTGTATTCTCTGCAGCAGGGTAAGCTGCTTCTTTTTTCTTCCCGTGGCCAGATTGCTTTAAACGCTTGCCAATGATGGGATAGAGGGTTTTCAGAGCATATGCCGCAGCCACCAGGCAGGCAGCCCTCTTAGCAGCACTCGATCTGGTCCATTTCACTCGATCAGCTGCTGCATTTAGCATATGTGTCATTTTCCCAGTTACCCAAACCGGCTTCAAAAAAAATTCGTTTTAAAAGATCATGCTCCAAATTCCCAGCAAATGTTTCAGAAAGTCCTACAGCGTCCCATCGTCTGCAGCGTTTCTCTTCCACTGTTTTGTTTTTAATTTTGCTCTGCTGTGAACAGACGCAGCGGGGCTCAGACTCCACTGCATCTACTGGGGATGATTCTCTCAGAAGCTCGAGCTGCAGCAAGCTCCTCCCTCCCAGGCCCCTCATTGGCTGGGAGGGCGGTGGGACCTTGGAATCCTCGCAGCTTCCCTTTGAACCTTGAAAATGAGGAGAGAGCAAACCGAATTACATCCTTCCTTAAACAGGAGTTCAGAGAGTTAAATGTCTATTTTTGGAGAGGTCGAACCAGGCCAGCTGCTGGCGAACGAAACCGGCTCTCGCTACTGAGCATGCTCAGTGTCACTTAGAAACCCGCAGAAGTTTCGGAATCTACATCACTTCGGTAAGATTTCAGTAGATAAGATACCGTAAGCAGAAGAGCAAGCAGAAAGGGGGATTTCCAAGAGTTTTAATGAGACTAGGAGGGAGAAGGATCCACGGAATGAGGGAGGAGGGACAAGAGGATCCACATAAAGTGAATATGAAAAGGGTATGGAATGAATCTGAAAGAGATGAGAAAAGAACGGGACAAGTGGGAGGCGCACTGGAGAATGCCAAATTTCAAATACAAACATTTGGATCTGTTTTCAGGTTCCCCCACCACCGGCTTTTGGGGGTCTATGATTTCACTTAAGGTCTCAGAACCTAATAGACACGTTGTAATTGAGGGTATCCCTTGTAAATAAACAGGATAAAAGTCTTCGGTGTTACAGAACATAATTATTTGCTATGCCTCTAGCCCCTCTCCCTTTTCCCCCTACATCCTACTTGTCCTGTGATAAAAAAAATCTTCCAGCCCCCATAATTGGATATCCGATGCACTCATATTTATTTACAAAGTGATGACTACTAAATAAATGAGAGCATTTTTTTTTTTTTTTTTGAGACGGAGTCTTACTCTTGTCTCCCAGGCTGTAGTGTAATGGCGTGATCTCAGCTTGCTGCAACCTTTGACTCCAGGGTTCAAGTAATTCTCCTGCCTCAGCCTCCTGAGTAGCTGGGATTACAGGCGCCTGCCACCACGCCTGGCCAATTTCTGTATTTTTAGTAGAGATGAGGGTTCTCCAGATTGGTCAGGCTGTTCTCGAACTCCTGAGCTCGGGTGATCCTCCTACTTCGGCCTCCCGAAGTGCTGGGATTACAGGCATGAGCTACAGCACCCAGCTTGCAATGTTCATTTTTACAACTCCCATGTGTTAGGTAGTTGTTATTTGGAGTTGGGTAGCACTTATAGTCAGAGTTTAACCATTTGGGAATTCAACGGGTGTTGGATAGCGGAAATAGCTTATCTAGGACCTTACTTCATTTTTCAAGAATTCCTTGTCTTTTGCAAGTGTCTGTTTTGCTTGTTTGGTTTAGCTGTAGAGTTAATCTACTGGCTACCTTTTATTTCCGTTTCGTTATTTGATAAAAACTAAGAGTCTTCAAAAAAAAAAATTCTTCACATTCATAATAAAGAATTTAAACTGTTCAACAGTCAAGGACAATTCCGCATATTTTTAAATATGTAAACAGCTTTTGTTTGAGACAGAGTCTCACTGTCACCCAGGCTGGAGTGCAGTGACACGATCTCCACTCACTGCAGCATCGGCCTCCCAGGTTTGTGCCTCAGCCGCCCCAGCAGCTGAGATTGCAACCACACGCCACCACACCTGGCTGATTTCTGTATTTTTTGTAGAGACGGGGTTTTGCCATGTTGGCCAGGCTGGTCTCAACCTCCTGTACTCACGTGGTCCATCTGCCTTAGCCTCCCAAAGTGCTCGGATTACAGACGTGAGCCACTACGCCCAGTCAAGAACATTTTTTTAGTCAAGGCTGAGTATATTTTTGGATATGGAAAAGCCATTTTTTTGGCTCTCCATTCTCCCCCTACTCCATCTCATTAAAACTCTCAGAAATCTCCCTTTCTCCTTGCTCTTCTGCTTGTGATATCTACGGAAATCTTACAGAAGTGATGTATATTCTGAAACTTCCGAGGATTTCTAAGTGACACTGAGCATGCTCGGTAGCTAGAGCCAGATTTGTTTGCCAGCAGCTGGCCCCCAGAATACATAACACATTTCTAGTCAATCAGAAGCTTAGGAAAAATTTAGGACAGAAGTTGGCCAATTACAACTAGTGGCCAAATCTAGCCTGCCACTTAATTTTATATGATCCTTAAGCTAGGAATGATTTTTACATTTTTGAAGTGGTTGAAAATACATCAAAAGAAGAATATTTTGTCCTGTGAAAATTATATAAAATGCTAATTTTTATGTTTGTAAATGAAGATTTATTGGAAAACAGTCACATCCATTAATTTAATTTCTGTCTATGGCTTCTTTCAAGACACAGCAGTGGTTAAATGAATGCAACAAAGACTGAAATATGTACTATTTGGCTCTTTAGAAGAGTTTGCAAACCTCTTGCTAGAATGTAAAACCCATCTCAGTATTAAATGATCTTCGTTAGTGAGTTTATCACAAATAAAGAACTATCCTCACTTTTATAAGTAACTACATTCTTAAATTTTAAAAACTTATTTCTTATGTACTTATATATATAAATCTGACAATCATCACATATCTCTTCATTTGTTTGCATTCAATTCAGCAGATTTACTGACACATGAGTGTCAAACTTATGCAAGTCATTTTGATAGCTGGCCATATTAGTAGCAAACGCCATCATCCTATTAAGACTTTTTAAGCCTGTATGTACAGATCATAGTGGTCATGGACATTATTGTCAAAATCTTTTATTCCTAAGCTCTTGTTTTTGCTGTATGCAAGATAAGATTGCCTTTCATTTATGTCACATCTCCTAACAGCTAAACAAAAAAGGGTTAGAAGCGACAGGACAGGTCAAGGCCAGGGTAAACCTAATTGGGGGTGATGGCTGGATGTTATTAGGTAGAACATCATACACAGAAGGATGCAGGGGTCAGATAGCAGCTGGCAGTCGAGGCAAGTGGTGTGCAATGCATACAACCAGAGGCAGCCATATCAGGGGAGGAGCACGACTGTGAGAACTCTAGAAGCAAAGGACACTAGAATTCAAACAGGACTTAGCTGGAGGTACGTCAGTTTACCAACTGATAATGAGGGTGTAGTGCAGGAACAAGCTTTCAATATCCGGAGGGAGAGAATTGTGAGAATGAAGAATTGTGTACGAGGAAAATGACCAAGCAGAAGTTTTATTACCTGAATCGTGGTACAAGGAATGTTGAAAGTGAGTTACTTGAACTGTGGAAAAAGTCAATGTGAGATTTGATTTGACGTTGAGCCACTTACGTGCAGACCTAATGCTTAACTATTTAAATTTCACTCCCACCTTACTGTGCTCTCAAAGATAGGAACTGGTCCTAGTGTAAGACTAGGCACAAGCCTTCGAATAAGGCAGAGGAAGGATTCAAGAGGACAGGGAGCCATATAGACAATTGAGTCAGAAATATATGGCATTTAAGTTAAAACTAAGAATGTCAAGGTACTTCTTTCAGTTTTTTTTCTTTTTTTGAGAAAAAGCCTCACTCTGTTGCCCAGGCTGGAGTGCAATGCCACAATCTAGGCTCACTGCAACCTCTGCCTCCCAAGTTCAAGTGATTCTCCTCCTCAGCCACTCGAGTAGCTGGGATTATAGGCACCCACCACCACACCCAGCTAATTTTTGTGTTTTTAGCAGAGATGAGTTTTCCCATGTTGGTCAGGCTGGTCTTGAACTCCTGACCTCAGGTGATCCACCTGCCTCTGCCTACCAAAGTGCTGGGATTGCAGGCGTAAGCCACAACACCTGGCCTTCTTTCAGATTTTTCTACTGGTGGAATGCAATTAAAGCTAAGAGAATGTTAATTTTGTTTGAATTCCAAACTAAATTAGGAGAGAAAGAGGAAAAAAAAATCATTTGTTGCTGAAGTAAAAAACATGCTTAGGCCTAATTTCTATACAAATGTCTTAATTTTATGTGTTTATATGAAAAAATATTAAATTTTTTTAAGAGGGGAGAAATCATCTTAGAAAAGATCTTGAATAACAATGAGAATATTTTTTAAAATTAATAATTCTCAGATCACTGTGCTCTCATGTGATATTCTAAAGTACACTACCAATATTCATGTAAGAGATGGATTAAGTGAATTATATATATATATATATAGAGAGAGAAGAATACAAATTAGAGACCATATATATTTTATAAACTGTGAAACATCAGATATTTTTGTAATAAAGAGAACTATATACATAAATGTATAATATATAATGTATATTATACACATACATATTATATATTATATACATGTATAATATGTATGTGTTGCATGTTCAGATTATGAATCTCCAGAGAGCAAATAATCTTTAGAAATATGTAAAGATAAATTGTTTAAGGTTTGAGAATTTTGAATGGGTTTCCTTCTCAACAAATATTTAACAGTATTTCATTTGTGTTGTATTGCCTTCTTGAACTGTTTCCTTACCCAACAGATTACCTAATTGCTCTGCTGGTCCTAAAATAGCACAGTGTTGGACTCTCTTATTATCTATCAGTCATACTAGCCTTACGGAGGCATAAACAGCACTGGAAATGAGATCTTAGGTCAACATTTCAGCTGTTACACATAAGTAGCTAATACCTAGTTCATAAGAAAATGTGTTTTTCTGTAAAGGAAACCCCAGTAATTATCTCATCTGAATATGTATCTCATAGGATAATCTTTCCTTAGCCTAATTCACTGCCTCCCTGTGACTAGAAGGAAAGAAGTAACTTTAGTCAGAAAGAAGAGATGGTCCATCCAACTCTCAGTTCTTTTTAAAATTTTTGTGTATGTTTCTTTTTAATTTTAATGGGTACATAGTAGGTGTACATGTTTATGGGGTACCGGAAATATTTTGATACAGACATGTAATGCATAATAGTGACATCAGGGTAAATGAAGTATCCATCACTTCAGACATTTATTATTTCTTTGTGTTATAAACATTTCAATTATTCTCTTTTAGTTAGTTTAAAATGTGTAATAAATTATTGTTAACTGTAATCATCCTGTTGCGCTATCAAAACTAGATGTTATTAATTCTAGTTAAATAAATTTTTGTACCTATTAACCATTCCCACTCCCCCTAACCCCCACTAACCTTCCCAGCCTCTGGTAACCATCACTCTATCTCCATTAGTTCAATTGTTTTAATTTTTGGCTCCCATAAATGGAGTGCCAGCTCTAAGTTCTTTACTCAGCAACTTGGTCAACCTCTCCTTATGTCCCTTCACTCACAATAAAGAAAAAAAGAGTCAGTTAATCCCTTAGCAAAT